TTCAGTCAGTCTTTAAGCCAGATAAATCCGACTTTTAAAGTTGTCGCTCATATCTCATAGCTCCACTCTGACTTAAATCCAAAAAATAGCAATAAATTCATCATATTCTAAAGTTTATATTAAACAATTTAATGCGTTACAATGACTACTTTAAAGTAGCTTCAGATATCGAACGAACCTGTCACAGGTTTATTGGGATAGGTTTAAATTTGGAATCCTCGTTCAAGCTTACCTTTATTTTAATTTCTAGCTAAGTTCATTAATTTTAATTGAGTAAGTATCTACTATTGTTATTTCCACACCAGTTATCACCACCTACAAGGAACCCATCTCTGGTTGGATCGATAACATGTATGGCCCTTGCGGCATAATTGTTGGCATCGGTTCCGGTGTGTTGCGCGTCTTCAGCGGGAAGGTCGACAACAAAGCCAATATAGTGCCAGTGGATTTGTCGGTAAATGCGTTGCTGGCCAGTGCTTGGGATATAGCGCGCAATACGTAAGTAACCATATCAAGTTGTCTATGATACTTGGCACTCCACCGCTATTTTATTGGACGTTTTTTTATACTTCCTCTTTCACAGCTATGATACACCACCCATCTACAACTATGTGCCAGATGCCGACAACATGGTCACCTGGAAGGAGTATATGGAATATGGCTTCGAATATGGCTGCAATATACCGATGCGCAAGTCAATTTGGTATCCACGTTTCACAATTGTTCCCTGGCGTTGGCAATTTGTGATTTTGTCCTTTTTATATCACACAGTGCCAGCCATGTTCATGGATCTGTCCATGATTGTCGTGGGCAAGAAGCCTAGGTGCGTACAGATGTGATTGAATTTATTTCAAATCGGAAATGAGATAGTCGATTAAATAATAATTGTCATGAATGCTTAAACTAAACTACATTCGCCTGATTTTCACTCTTTTGTATTTTACAGAATGTTGAAAATATATCGGAAAATACATAAATTCTGCTCTGTGATGGAATATTTCAGTTCAAATGATTTCAAATTCGATAATGATAATGTGCGTGCGTTGTCGGAGAAACTCGAAGGTGCAGATAAACAGATATTTGGCTTTGATATGCGTCATCTCGATTGGAAGGAATTGTTCCGGGTCAGCTTAGTGGGATTACGTCTTTATGTTGTGAAGGATGACCCCCGAAGTGTGCCAGAGTCGATAAAGCGTCATGAGCGGTGAGCTGAAGAATAAAAAGAAGAGTGGGAAGTAAAAAAATAGGTGGTAATTTATTGAAAAGCGTTGAGGCTCCCAACGAAATAACAATTATAGAAGCTTAGTTTTTCGGCTGTGTGGTTACTGTAGATGATACTCGTAAGAACGATTAGGTTGAAATGTGATTTGAAGTCTTTGGATCCGAATGGCAACTCCATGCTTTTTTACAAAATGAAATGGTGGTTTTGACGTCCCGGAGGAAGAAAAAGGAAAATCAAAGCAGTCTGTTCGAGGATAGATTAGGTTAGGTTGTATGGTCGTTTATGAGACAGAGGNGAAGTCATGTAATCTTACGCTTACCAATTGTCCTGTTATAACAAATACTATGACGCCACTTCATCGTCCTTACAATTCCCCAGTATGTCGCAGTGTCCCGGAGCCCATATTACCTTTGAGCGAAATAGCCAACTCGTTAAAAGATGTCAAGATGACGATTTGAATGCCGCCTGTCAGTGAAAATGTAGATATTAGCTTGGGATATCACATCGCACCTTATCAGATTTGTGGCCCTGTCGATTGCCACCCGTTCCGCCTGAAAACCGCTACAGTGATTCGGAAGACGAAAGCTAAGTGAGGCTCCCAGGTATTCGGAGTATTTATATACCTTCACCAACGCTAACAAAACGAACCTATTTCCGGTCTCTGGGACTACTTTGGGGGTTTCGGGTCTGCTTTGGGGTTTTTTTAAGGACTATTTCAGAATTTTCAACATTACTCCGGTATTTTCATGTCTTCGGGATTCTTGGCACAGTTTCAGAAATCTGTAGATTTTCGCTATCATTTCGGAATTTTTTTAGACCAATTCCCGACTTACTGAATTCTTGGGATTATCGCTAGAGTTTGGGGATTATATCCGTGTTTTCGGGACTTTCAGGGCTATTTAGGCATTTTCGGGACTACTTTAAATTTTTGGGAATACTGCGGAGTTTTTACCGCAATTTTGGGCCTTTGCGACTACTTCCCGATTATCGGGGATGATTCGTGATTTTCGGTACTATAACGAAATTTTCGAGACTACTTCGGGGTGGGTGGAGTTCATGTCAATTGAAGTGCGGTGAGTTTCGGTCAGTTAAGGTGAGTTCAGTTGAGGAGAGACGAGTTGATTGAAGTGAGATTAGTTGAGCTGAGTTAAGATACATACATAAGGTGGTAATTGATTTAGCTTGTTCTAAAACATCGAGTATTTAATTTGAAGGTATTCAGCCATTTACTAAATACCTTAGTTCTTAAGTGGAAGTATTTTGCATCTCCTAAGTACCAACCTGAGTTCTGTACTTAGATCAGAGTATGAAGCGTCCGGTGAACACTTTCATTCAGTATTTAGCAACTCTTACATACCTCAATTTTTTTTATTTGAGTATTTACACATCTCCAAATAATAAGTATTTACGTATTTAGTACCCAATCTGCTTTATATGGAAGAATGATGTGTGAGCTTCTTTTTGTAGCATATTCAGAAAAGAAAAAAAATTCAAAAAATATCAACAAAAGTAATTATTATATAATTTTCTTTGATTTTTATTAATAAATTTGTATATTTAAAAATTTATTTTCTTTCTCTTTTTCAGTCTCAAAGTGCTGCATTACACAACGCTCTTCATTATCTATTCACTGGTGTTAGCGCTGTTTTATAAAATATTCAGCTTTTTTTATTTTTAGTACTCCATACATGTATGTAGTTTATAAATTTTTCAGAATAAAAAAGTTTTAAAATGTTTACACAGTGTACAAACTACAAACCGAACCGAATATAAAAAAAATTAATTTTATACCAAAAGTTTCTATTAAAAAATATGCAAGTGAGAACAAAACATTCCTACATGTGTAAGTAGTAACAACAATGCAATTTTTATACCAACTTAGTTTAGATATTTTTTGTAATATGCTAATTGTAATTAATTTTTTTTTTAACTGCTTTTATAATTTTGTCAAATTTTTCCATAAATACATACATATAAATGAGTTAGTCTGTAGCAAATTGTTGCATTAATTTTGCATTTACATTTACTATAAACTGAAGAAAATTAAATAAAAAGCTTATGCTGGGTGTAAATTCAAAGTTTTAGTGCTTGCGAATATTTTAATACATAAATACATACATAGAGCGATACACATTACGATAAGCAGTGAATAATTAAAAAAATAAAAAACCAAACTATTTAATACTGCTTTTATTTTCTTTGTGGAAGCCCAAACTTTTAACTGCTTCCCCAGCATGTGTGTAGGTAATCCTTTCCCATTAGCACTATGCCTATCTGCCTACTTGGCTGTCTAACGATATGCAAACTTAAAGATTGTATACATATTTACTTCGGTATTTGTTTATTATATTTATAAACAGGTTACAAACTTTTCAAAGTTTATGTTATTCAAGTCATCTCTTAAATCTCACCTGCCACATTGGCGGTAGGCTCGAAGGAATATGCGCCGTCTCACTTTACATTCTGCCTAACTTAACATTAAAGGTCGCCTTTTAAACTTTTGTTTGGCATTTATATGCATACCTACCTACTTACCACGCGCGTGTGTGTGTGTGTGTGTGGGTGAGTGTACGAAGGCATGTGTATACGTTTGTAGCTGCTTTTATCCAGTTTAACGCCTACAGGCATTTTCAACTTACGTGCTTTCGCACTCAAATGAGCTGACACCACTGTATCATTCGTCTAACCCCAAAGTATCTGAGCGTCTTTTACAATCAGCTTTGGGCTAAACTCTGTCACTGGTATGTTGTTGGTTGTAAAGGTGACGAAGGATTTGGATTTTATTGTTAGAAAATGTGAGTTGATGAAATTAAAGCATATTTTTGGAGAGAGACATCAAGAAAGTGATGCGAAGTGAGTTCATTATTTTTTTTTACAGAAGTTCTGACCAGCTCAGTAATGTGCTAAATATATGGAGTCTAAGTTCCGTTATGTCGTAGGAAGTATATGAGGACATCAGAGGTTCCATTTATTTTTTTGGTTATTGGCCTTTAAATTTTAAATTATGAAAACTTCTATCAAGCCCGACATATTCAACCATGTATTAAGGAAGAGTTCCTGAGGATGACCACAGAATGAGATCGAAATATCCGTAGTTATAATATTAAAGCAACGAAAAGTTTACTTTTATTCAATCGCTGCGCCGGAGTTTGTTATAGTTTTCATGGCTCCATTTATGATTAAGTGCATTTATTGCGTAATAAGGCTTCCAAAGTCAGTTACTTAAATCTGGTAGTTCGAATTACCTTGAGATGTATGGCAGAAATATATGTACTTCGAGGGATGCAAACCGCTGCCAAAATCGATGCGGTTCGGTTCAGTTGCAAACTTGATAAGAAATTAAGGAAAATTCAACAAAACTTCATCAAAATTTCAATTTATTGTCTGAATCTTTAGAACATTTTTGGTCTAGTGAAGTTCAAGTTTCAAACGGCTAAGAAATCCCGTTGTTTTTCGAGAATGTTTTTTTTTGATGACGGATTTTTTCATTTTTTTTTCATATAAAATTATATAAAATCAACGCCAGTTTTTGTAAATTGCACTTGTTATACTAACAAAACCGAAAAAGTAGGCTCTAAAAAAAATTTCCCAAAAAATCACTGCGATTTTTTAGCTGTTTGAACCTTACACTTCATGGGGCTAAAATTGTATGGGCTATAAAACTGCTCACCAAAAAATGTTCTTAAGATTCAGATTAAAAAGTTGAAATTTTAATGAAAGTTTGTTGGATTTTCCTAAATTTTGTATAAGGTTTTAAGACTTTGATTTATATGTTTTTGGGTACGGCATTTTTATAGAAATATAACAAGAAAAGTTTGCTCGAAAAACATTAGGGATATTAAAAAAAAACGCGGCTATTTGTTTGAGTCACTGTATGTTTTTATTACAGATTCGGAATTTGTGGACAAACATACGCAGCTCTTGATTGCAAGTCTTTTTTCGAAAGTGCCTTTCCCAACCTCTAAATTACTAATTAAACTAACTAACTAATTAAATATTTTTTTGCAAATGCTCATTAAGGCGATATCAAAACAAGTAATTTTTAGCTAAAAAAACCGACTTCAATTCTCATATATATATATATATATATATATATATCATGATCCTGATGTCGGGCTTGATATTGATCCATATTAGTATGGGACCACCTCTGAGACACTACCTTTCCGATGCAAAAATAATTATCGAAATCGGTTGACGTGGTCCAAAGTTATGCGGTAACATACATAAAAAAAAACCCCTGAACTGATAACCTCCCCTTTTTTTGGAAGTCGGTTAAAAACAAAAAAGAAGTTAAGAAGTATAAGTTTGGGTGAAACCGAATTTTAAATACCCGACGCCGGTATCAATTATGCATGATAAGCAGGGATGTTTTTCCCGATTTCAAACGTTTTCGATAATAAGCTGAGATAAATCTTTGCAGTCATAAAGTGGGCGGTGCCAAGCCTAAAGTCTATAACTGTCTTCAGTCCTCAGTTATTGAATTATCGGAGTTTTCGTATTTCTTAAATTTACCGTTACACGGTAAGCGGGTGTAATTTTAGACCGATTTGAATATCGAACGAAATTCTTTTCCATAACAAAGCTATTAAGTTCTTCGACTTTGGTAGAAATTGATAAATCGGCAACCGAGGTAAACATTTGTGGCCATATGTGGGCGGCGCCAAGACCGTTATCCTAAAATTTGTAATAATATAATTTTCTGCTAAGTAGGGTTGAAACGATACGAGTACAAGTACATACTCGATACTTTGCGTTCGATACCAAGTAATTTTAGTATCAATACTTTTGAACCAAGTACTGAGTAGGTATCCAAAAAACAGATACTCGTATCGTATTTCATCAAAAGTAGGCGGCTTCACACTTATTTGCTAAACATTTTTTGGATCCAATACTTACTGATACATCGTAGTTTTTTTTTTTTTTGCATTTTTCGAATATATCGTTATATGTGAAGTGGGCGTGGTTAAAGTTCGAAAAAGCAACCTACATACCAAATTTCGTTGATATATCCCAAATTGTTGCTCGAGTTATCGTGTACATGGACAGACGGATAGACATGGCTTAATCGAGTTCTCTATTCATTCTGAGCATTTACATTTGTCCATATCTATCTCGATTCGTTTAGGCTATTACAAACAATCCTTGTGCGAACAAAGTTATAATAGGTTCATTCCTTATCTTTTTGGACTAAAATCTGAAAAGTGTCAAAATGCCAGAGCGTAAGCAAAATGCGCTCACTAAAAGAGAGTAACAGGAAAAGTAAAGGAACGCAAAAAACCAAATTTTTAGTCCAAAGAATGGCAACAACAAAACTAACGTCAAATAAGAACAGAAATGTATGTACAAAACACATTCACACAAGCACAAGCACAATAAACACTTGCTATATCAATTATTTTTTGCCTCCTTCCAATTTCAATTCATTTCTTTTACTTTTTAGATTATTCTCACTTTTTGCGTATTCTTTAATTTCCGTTAATTTAAATTCAGTTGAGTTTGACACTTTTCAGGATTTTGCCAGAAAAAATTCTTCTGACTAAATCTGACTACTTCGGACTGATGAGAGTCGCTCTCACTGACTGTTGCTCTCTCATTTTTGCTGTCATTTCCGAGTTAAGGAACGCTTTTTGGACTAAATCTGACTACTTCGGACTTTTTCTGACTATTTCTGGGAGATAAGGAACGCGCATAGTATCTTTGTTCATAAGTGCGCACGGGTATAAAAACCAAATTTGACAAGGAATAACAAATATTTGTTCCAGAAGATATAGTAACGCTTTGTTTATTTTGTATTATTTTTTGGTAACGTAAACCATACTTGCAAAGTAATTACAGTTTCTGTTTCAGCTTAATCCTTAGTATACGGCAATTAACACCAACTCAATGTACAAATTTTGATTATTCATACGTACACACACATTTATAGTATTTAGCTATTGAAAACGAAA